GAAATAATAATATGATAATGCACTAATTGTAGAAAATGCTTCACATTCTAATTCCAAATTCTTCTTAGTCATTTCTTTAAATTTCATAAATCCCTTTCTTAATACCTCAACATCTCTTTTACAATAATATTCACAATATTTTCTTGTATTAAATTTCCCATTATCTAATAAACATCCTGTTTTATTTATCTTCTCTTTAAATTCTTTTATTTTACTTTCTTCCCATTTTGGTGTTTCATTATTCCAACATCCTTCTATTGTTCCTACTTCTAATGTATTATAATCATAATAATTATATGGAAATATTTCTTTTTCATATTCTCCTTCTAAATTAAAGAATCTTTTAAAATTTGATATTGAAGTTGGAATAAGTCCTAATGTATCTTTGAATATTATTTTCTTTCCTTTATGTGTTTTTATAACCATATTATAAATATTAGACCCTTTTCTAGTAATCCCAATTATTCCATATTGTGCCAAGAATCTCCCATCATATCCGAGATTATGAAAATAACATATTGGATTTTTAAAATTAGATAAATATTCTATAAATTCTTTTCCACAATTTAGTCCATAAAATGTATTCCATACTCCTTTCTTATCAATTACAACAACACAAAATGGAATATGATGTTCTCCTTTTACCATACATTCAAAATCTGCATAAAATACATTCTCATATTCCATTTCTCTTATTTCTTTACTTTCACATATTTTGTATTCATATGGTGTAATTTCTGTAAGTTTAACTTGAAGTTTATCAGCATCATAAAGGTGTTGTGTTATAATATCTTCTTTACTAATTTCTTCAAATGCTCCTTCTTCTTTTAATATTTGTATTGCTCTAAATGCTTTTAGTTGTCTTTGTAATAATGTTTCGTAACATCCATTTCTTTTTCTATATGTCAAATAATATTTGTTAATGTTTTTATTATTTTCTTCACAATATTTCTTTATTTCTTTAAAATTTTTAATGAAAAATGTTGTTAATGGTATTTTCTCATTATTAATATAATGTTGTCCATTCTTCCATCTAAATAAAAACATACGAATTATATTTCCTTCTGTTCCAATTATTTCTTTTTTAATAACTTTTTCTTCTTTATCTCTATAATATTTTAATTCAACTCTAAATCCATACTTTTCACATATCTTTTTAATGTTCTTTTTGCTAATTGTTTGTCCTTTTATCATACTTCTAATTGTTTCAAGACTTATATCATCAATTACTCCTGATTCTTTTAAACAATTAACAAAACAATTTTCGCTAAGACGAATAGTATTTTTTGTATAAATTTGGTATTTTTCAAATATTGATGCTATACATTCCCACTCTTCTTTTAAATAATATCCAAAAAATCCTCCTTCAATTCTTTTTCTTTCGACTTCTCCTAACTTTTTTACAATAATTTGTCTTACAAGTAATCCTGGTGGGATTGGTGGATTGTCCTCATCATCATATCGTTTCCAAAATTCACTAATATCTTCATCATAATTAATTAATTTTCCTATAAATTCTTCAATATTAACATTTTCCATATTTATCATAAATGGTCGTTTAATTATAACACGTCCATTTCCAAAGTGTATTATAACTTGTGATGGTTGGTTATTTTCCTCTAATATTTTTACTGCTCTTTTTGTTTCTTTAACGATATTTTCCCATTCATTTTTTTCATAATACTCATTGCTTTGTAATAATTTTGATTTATAAAATTCATAAGACCTTTTTGGATTTCTTTCAATCATTTGAAGTATTTCTTGTTCTTGTGGTGTTGGAATATTTTCAATATCTTCATTTTGAATTATTTCTGGAAATTCATCATTTGATGTATCATTAGAATTTCCGTTTTGATTAATTTCTTGTTCATTCTGATTAACTTCTTCTTGTTCTTCTTCAATATGTCGGTTTCTATTTAATAATTTTTCTCTTTTTTCTTTTCTTTCTCTTGCTCTTTCTTCTCTTTTAGACCTTTGATATTCTTCAACACTGGAATTTTCATGAAATAGATTTCTTTTATTAATATTGTTAATTCTATCATTAATTGATATTAGTGCTGTTTTTTCTTTAATATTTTC